TCTCTGATGAAGAGTATGTCCTCCTCATTAAAACAAATGTCTTCTTTTTTATTAGAAAACTATGTTCACTAAGTCTGACTCATTTGGGGGACCACTCAGTGTCTCTGGGAAAAATAAAAGTATACAGTGGCCTTGCAAATGGAGCTACCATTGGGTATATCAAAAGGAAAGAATAAAAGGAAGACAGGAAGAAACAAGCAAAAGATAGAAGTTCACTCAGCAGATAAATGTTACCATGGATCAAATTTAGAACATTTTAATAAGCATATTGCCTGGAATTTAAAATATAAAAGCAATTGTTCAATAAAACAAAAACTCAAAGCAGAGAGCTAAAAGGGCTCATGGAAGATGAGACCACAGAAAGACTTGAAATGCTGTCCTCAGGAGAGAAGTAGAGAGAAATAGCGAACCATTATGAAATGAAGGTCGTGTTGGGAGCAGCACAAAGGAGACGAGACATGGCTGAAAGTTCACTAGAAACATGGGCAATAGACTTAAGGAAAAAACAAGCAAATGTAAATAGAAATCCACAAAAACATTAGCAAGATATGGATACAATTTAAAATACTATGGACTGTAGCCCACCTGGCTCCCCTGTCCACGGGATTCTCCAGGCAAGAATACTGGAGTGGGTTGCCATGCCCTCCTCCAGGGGATCTTCCCAATCCAGGGATCTAACCCAAGTCTCTTACGTCTCCTGCATTGGCCGGCAGATTCTTTACTGCTAGCACCATCTGAGAAGCCCAAGATGTTAGACAAAGACAAATACGTACTGTGTAATATACCTTCTTCGTGGACTCCTAAAAAGTTGAACTCTTAAAAACAGAGTAAGAGGGTCATTACTAGAGGCTGGGGGCAAGGATAAACTGGGGAAATGTTGTTTGATGGTTCAAACTTGCAACTAGTAGGTAAATAAGTTCTAGAAATGTAATGCACAGCATAGTGGTTATAGTCAACAATACTATATTAGAAACTTCAAAGTTGCTAAGAGATTATATCTTAATTATTCTCACCACAAAAAGAAATACTAATTATGTGATGTGATAGAAGTGCTAGGTAATGCTACCATGATAATTATACTATGGTTTATAAATGTATCAAATCAACACATTGTATACCTTAAACTTATATGTCACTTATAAAAAATGAAATTCAAACAAAATACTGGATTTCAAAATTTAAGAATTCTCTGTGCAACCAGGCAAGATGATTATATAAATCAACTCATCTCAGACTCTCTTCCCCAGTGAGAGTCAATCTAGAAAACAATAGAACAAAACCTAAAAGTCTCCACAGAAATAAAAAATGAGACCAAAACTTTTATTCCCACCAAATCAACATTCTAGCCCAAAGACAACAAACATCTCTGAGCATGCAAGAACTCTGGGAATGTAATCTCCATGAGACTTCTAGAAAGTTGACTTTCTAGAAGATTCTCAAGAGCAAAATTTAACCAAGTAAGAGCTGAATAGAGAAACTCTGGCTAAACTTAATCTGATTAAGGAAGGGTGTAAAACTGAAATAAATATGGGGTTATAGTTACGGAACAGAATGTAAATGTTTAATAAGCCCTGACAAAGTGGAAATGATAGAACAAATTTGGGATAGGAAAGAGGAGAGAAAAATGGGAAATAGTGTAAACACCTTCACAGCATGTAAACCAAGTAACAGAATTCTATATCAAGAACTGTGAAGAATGAGCTTTTACTTTGCATTCAAGCTAACAAGTTATTCTTCCACGGTTCCACTGATGCTTACAGAAAGCCTGAGACTCCTGGGTCGGAGGCAAAGCAACATGAATCTCATGCTCACTTCAGTTCCCCTGTCTCCCAAACTCTATGGGGACAATGCAGAGTAGCCTGAATCGATACTGTGCATGCAGTGGGTCTACATCATAGCTAAGGAACCCAGGGTTTAGGGAACCCCAATCATTTATAAGAGGTCCACTGGAAAACCTGCCCAAACTTTGCCCCAGAGGGAGACATTATCTTTAGTGTCATGGGCAGCAAATAAATCTTTCCCCTGCCTATAATCATTATAATCAGGAAGTGGATGAAAAAGGGGCAAGGTGAGAGGAAGATGAAGTGCACTGATTTCACTGCAGTTCATAATGAGTAAATGGTACTAGCTAAAAATTGTGAGAGTAAATATAAAGAAACAGCCCAGATATACTGGCAGCATAAGAAGGAAGGCATGCAGCATCATTTGTAAAAACAAAAACCCATATTTAACCTTGAAGTTTCAGCTGAAATGCCACTTCTCTACAGAGGCCTCTTCTGAACACCAGACCAAGTTTGCTATCCTTGGTATCATCTCTCATAGCTGCCAAGGTCACAGCTAGTGAGTGGTGGAGCTGAGATTCAGGCCTAAAATTGTTCATGCTCAAAGTCTGCACTCTTAGTAAAAGCCTGAATCGATACTGTGCATGCAGTGGGTCTACATCATAGCTAAGGAACCCAGGGTTTAGGGAACCCCAATCATTTATAAGAGGTCCACTGGAAAACCTGCCCAAACTTTGCCCCAGAGGGAGACATTATCTTTAGTGTCATGGGCAGCAAATAAATCTTTCCCCTGCCTATAATCATTATAACCAGGAAGTGGATGAAAAAGGGGCAAGTTGAGAGGAAGATGAAGTGCACTGATTTCATTGCAGTTCATAATAAGGAATAAATGGTACTAGCTAAAAATTGTGAGAGTAAATATAAAGAAACAGCCCAGATATACTGGCAGCATAAGAAGGAAGGCATGCAGTATCATTTGTAAAAACGAAAAACCCTTATTTAACCTTGAAGTTTCAGCTGAAATGCCACTTCTCTACAGAGGCCTCTTCTGAACACCAGACCAAGTTTGCTATCCTTGGTATCATCTCTCATAGCTGCCAAGGTCACAGCTAGTGAGTGGTGGAGCTGAGATTCAGGCCTAAAATTGTTCATGCTCAAAGTCTGCACTCTTAGTAATTCATCTCTGCAGGCCACTCACTGATGCATCTAATTATATTCCATTCACACCTGATAGCACAGAGTTTTGTCTGGTCCTCTGAGCTTTCATACATACAAGGCTTAATTCTCCAATGCCTTGTAATATTTGAGACATATCTTATGTGTCCTGAGCATGGCCCCCAGGACCTAGCAGAAAACAAACACCATTTAAAATCATTCAATGCATAATATGGAACACAAATGAACATCTGGGGAGCCCAACTAAATACCTATTGATCACCCTGCTTTGCAGCACACAAGTAGCAGCTTGAAGGAGAAAAGCCAGGACCAACTCTATCTTCTGGTCCTAAGCATTAGATTATTATCTGTCTCTAATGAATTATGTGTGAAATTCCTGAGGTTATAAGGGGAAACCACACACAGTCCTTGAAATAGATTGCAAGGGTGAATAATGAATGCTCTATATTTAATGCATGAGAATGCAACATGCAGAAAATTGAACAAGAGGTCAAACTCCCATTCCTTGCAACAAGAGATCTTCCTGTCTTCCCACCAATAAATGAATCATTAAATATTTTTAAACATCTTAACAGGATCCATAAAGCCTGGGTTTCTCTAATCTCTTTGCTTCAAGCCTTCTTCTAACCGTGGGCATCATCGCCTAAATAAGGAATGCCATGGATTATTTGCCTTTCTGAGAAGTGGGCACCCCACAGCTCTACTCCATATAAAACTGGCTACCGTGTTGCAATTTGAGGAAAAGTAAATCTCACCATCATGATGATAGAATGTGCAGTTGAAGCCAGAATAGGAATGGCTCCGAGAAAATGGAATCTTTGACAGCATAATTTTAATGCTGTCAAATTATTCAGCTTTTTTCTTAAAAGTCACGTAATATTCCACTCAGATATTACTTTTGAAATCAAATATCACTTTGGTAAAAGTTAATAATTTAGGAACTTTTATGTATCTTTTATAAAGGGCTCATACAACAAATGCATGAGATGCATAACCAGAGAGCCCTCTCACCCTGTGAGTTTTGTGTGATTGCGTCAGTCGGCATCCTTAACATAGGGGATGTAGAGGCTGGGTGAGACTGTAGCATTGTGGGTGTCTTCACTGGGGTTCCAGTTTTTCCACGCAGTTGCCCAGTTTACAGCTATGTATAGAGGGAGAGAGGACCAAGTGTACCTTGACAGTCAGTAAAGCCTTTGTTTTTTTTGAAACCTCAGAGTGATAACTCTGGGCTATATTCCATCTCTCTCCTCCAGTACATCTCTCACTCGTGGGATTATCTCCATGGCAACCAGGAATGCATCCACCACCTTGAGGATACGTTTATCTGCCTTTCTACCTTTCTTAGGGTTAACTTTGTTAACCTAAGTGTGTCAAAACATGATGGTTTCCAGCACACTTTTGAATTAATTTAGTGATGCATCATGAAATCCTGGGAATCAAGCTGCCCCTTTTCAAACCCATGAGATGCAGTTTGTTAACTGTGAGCAAGTTAGCCTCAGTGAGACTCAGCCTCCTTTCTCATGCGTACAATGAGGGTAGAAATACAAGAACATTAGGAGGATTGGATGGATTTTTTGTAACATGTGAAAATAAAACCTAGGATCATAATTGATCTTTAGGAGTGCTCCAAAAACGCCAGCTCCATCTTTGGAGAGCATCCCTTTAACTGTATAATGTGTCAATTTAATGGACATGGCAGGTGTATCCCAGGCTTTTACTCTCAAAGGTTGACAAATCCTCTTCCTTTTGAGGATATTGATAGCGCCTCCCACAGTGCAATGAGTCAATTACGTTTCCCAGTTGAAATGAGTCTGTGGCTCATCTCAGAAGCCTGGTGGTGAAAAATTGGGGACATCCAGATTACAGAAACTTGTGGTGAAACATAGGTTAGGAAACCGCCAGCCTCACACACTGAAATCCAAATACATTGATGTTTAAGAGAATTGGCTTTAATTACCAAAATACCCTTGTCTAAATTGCCTCTCTGTTTGGGAAAATGAACTTGAAAGGGATTGAAGAAAACCACTTCTTTCCTGTCTTCAGATCTTCAGGAGTGGAAGGAATAAAGCCCACCCCTCACCACACCACCCAACAGGAAGCTGGAAGGGCCAGTTTTCTTCTGGGAATTTGACAAAGGAGACCTGAGTGAGTGGTTCTGAATGGTCAGCTGTTCCAGAAGAGATGCCTCACAATGAGACTCAAAATACAATTAAATCCAGTCCAGCCTCCCAGATGTCCACTAACTGGAGCAGAACCTTTTCTGTAACACATGGCAGAGCTAAAGTTTGTGTGCTGTATTCTTTTAAATGTTTCTATATTCCAACTAATAACGAAATCAGTAGTAATTCCTACCTTTCCCCAGTGCACACCATCTAACCTGATCAAACCCGTTAACTTGCTGCAACCACACAAGAACTTTGTATACACAGGTCTTCATACCTTTGTACACACAGAATGCTTCTCTTCACTTCCATCCCGCTATTCATCTTCTAAACCTAGAGCATCCTCTATCCCTTCCACGTGGTTTTCTCTGCCACCTGCTGCCCTCATTGATGTCTGTCCTCAGAAACCCAAAGGAGCTTACCATCCCTTCTGAGCACCTTTTCTTATACCCTGATTATTTACTCATTTTCTGTAAATGCTAAGATTTGCTTTTCTTCGCAACTAGTAATTATTTAAAAGCAAAAACTACGTCAGTTGTTTTTTCCATCTTTTCACAGCATAATAGGCTCAGTAAATATTTGTTGGTTGGTAAATAATGACTTCTATGTAAATGAATCCTGCCAAATTTGTAACAAATGATCAGTTCGAATACTTCACAGTAAAATATTTTTTCCCAGCTCTCATCTTAACAATATAGCATTTTAAAGCCAGAGATGAGTCTCAACACATCTCCTCATTCTTTAGATGAATCAACTGAAGCTAAGGAAGGTGAAGTGACTTGATTAAGATCACACATCTAAATAGAAGCCAATTAGGGCCACAGCACAAATCTGCGGACTTGTAGAGATGTACCTTTTCTGATACATAGCACGATGCCCCAGGGTTACACTCTACTTATAAAATTGTTTGAACTTTTTATTTTACACTAAGATATTGGAAAGATCCCCTGGAGTAGGAAGTGGCAACCCACTCCAGTATTCTTCCCTGGGAAATTCCATGGGCACATGAGCTTGGTGGGCTATAGTCCATGGACCTGCAAAGAGTCAGACACAGCTGAGGAACTGAGCATGATAGCTGATCAACAATGTTGTAATAGTTTCAGGTAGACAGCACTCTACTTGTAAATTGACCATCGCATTTCAGCAAAGAAAGACTTGGAGCTAGCTGACATGGGGGCCACCTCCTTGTTCCTTCATTAATTCATTCTGTTGCCTTGGGAAAATCATCTAACCCTTTGGCCTCAGGCTCCACAGCTGCAAGATGAAGGATGATAATTCTGCACGATCTTACCTCAAAGTTCAGCACACTACAGCCGACAAGTCAAATCCAGTACACACCTGTTTTGGCAAATAAAATTTTACTGGCTTACCCACTTATTTACCTATTGTAAATGCCTGTAATGCCAAAGTTGAGTAATAGTGAACACAGAGGCCACATGACCCACAAGACCATATTTACTGTTTGGCCCTTTGCAGAAAAAAAAAATGTTGGCTCTCAATCTAACCTGTTATATAGTACAGTTGTATGAATCTAATACAGTTTAATAGTGTATGAAAAGATTATTTTCACCTGCAAAGTGCTAACCCCACCTTTAAAAAATCATTGTTATTGACAACAATAGTAGCAATAGTAAATTGTGAAATAACAATATCAAAAAATTCTCTTTAATAGTGTCATCTAATGACAGTATTGCTCTATTTGAGGTTGCCTCCCCTCCCTATTGTTCATCGTAATGAGTTCTTGCAGAACCAAGTGACAACTTTAACAGATCCAGGGATATTTCAGAAATAATTAGAATGCTTATATATAAAATATAAAGCTAGTGTTTTCAGAAGAATAACAGGTCATCCATGGAGGGAATCTGCCCTCATTTTCATCACTAATCTGGCTCACTAGGTGCTCACCATCCTGTGTCACAAGTACCATATAATGAAATTAACGTTCACCTGGAAATACTGATGAGGCACACTGACCTTTGACAACTGACTCTGTTACTCTGAATGTGTTAAGTGTTTCTACTGGCAGGATTGTGTTTTGGAGTCTAATTGCTACAATGTTGTGTTAGTTTCTGGTACAAGGAAGTGAATCAGCTGTATGTGTACATATATCCCCTCCCTCTGGAGGCTCCTCCCCACCTCTCCACTCCAGCCACTTAGGTCATCACAGAGCACCGAGCTGAGCTCCCCGTGATATGCAGCAGCTTCCCGCTAGATATCTACTTTACATATTTTTTTGTTTAGTCACTTTAGTCGTGTCTGACTCTTTGTGACCCCATGGGCTGTATAGCCTGCTAGGCTCCTCTGTCCATGGGATTTTCCAGGCAAAAATACTGGAATGGGTTGCCATTTCCTTCTCCAATTTTACATAGGATAGTGTACATATATCAATACTACTCTCTCAGTTAGTCCCATCCTCCCCTACCCCTCGCTGGCATTTTTGAGAAGGAAATTAGTGGCTCTCAGTGGTTTTCCCGTACCGCGTACTCTGGGCATGGACATTAGCCAAGGAAGACAAATTGTTTTCAGGCAAGTGCAAGATTAATTATTGGCCACGTACAACTTAGGGGCTTACTGGTGGCTCAGAAGGTAAAAAATCTGCCTGCAATGTAGAAGACCTGGATTCAATCCCCTGAAGAATGGAATGGCCACCCATTCCAGTATTCTTGCCTGGAGAATTCCATGAGCAGAGGGGCTTGGGGAGCTACAGTNGGGCAGATAGTGAGAATCCAGCAAGAATACCTTTGCCTCAAATCCTTCTCCTGCCCCTGTTTCAATTGGACTGAGAGGCCCATAAAACCAATTCCTGTTAGGGTTCTTTATTCTTCACAAACAAAACTTAAAACTTTCATTTGATTCAGTAAAATTCTTAACATCTTTTTATTTCCTTCTTTAAAACGCCATTTTTACATGATCTAAATATAAGTTATTTAGTAGTGACAAATACATTCCTAATTAAATAACTATTTTCTTACAGATTTTCAGCCTAAAAATGTTTAAAGCCTGAGATCCATCAGGGAAATATACTATTTTATTTATAGGAATTGATATGAGAGACCTGATCTTCTTGGTATAACTGAGCCAGAAATGACCAGGATAAGATGAGGCAGGATTTATTAGGTTCTATGTCTGGGGTTCCTGTTTTCTTTGAAGTATACTCTGCCTGCCTGTATTTGTACGTAAGCGATTGTTCATACGTGTGTGTGTTAGTCACTCAGTCATGTCCGACACTTCAACACTCTGGACTGTAGCCTGCCAGGCTCCTCTCTCCATGGAATTCTCCAGGCAACAGGGTGTGAATGGGTAGCTTTTTCCTTCTCCAAAGGATCTTCCCAACCCAGGGACCTAACCCAGGTCTCCTGCATTATAGGCAAATCCTTTACCATCTGAGCCACCAGGGAAGCCTGTATGTGTGTGTATACAGGGCAATTTCCCTTGAAAGATTAGAAATGTCTATGTAATATGAATCCTTTCCTAAGTCCATCACTAAAACATCCCTCTGAAATTTCTATGTCAAAAAAAGGGCCTGACAGCTTCCCTTGTGGCTCGGTGGTAAAGAATCCACTTGCAAATGCAGGGGACACGGCTTCAGTCCCTGGTCCAGGCGAACCCCACATGCCGCAGAGCAGCTAAGCATGTACGCCACAACCATTGATCCTGTGCTCCTGAGCCTGGGAGCCACAACCACTGAGCCTTCAGGCAGCAGCTTCTGAAGCCCAAATGCCCTAGGGCCTGTGCTCGACAACAAGAGGATCCACGGCAATGAGGAGTCTGAGCGCTTGCACCAAAGGGCAGCCTCTGCTCTCTGCTCTGCCCATGCAGCAACGAAGACCCAGTGCGGCCAGAAATAAAATTATTTTTTTTTTAAAAGAGCCTGAAACTTCTAAGTATTAAAGCCATATACCCCTCAGAGAGGTGAAATAGGAAACTTTGATCCGCTATTAATGACTCAATGGAAACTTACATATCTTCTCCAATAGCTAAGAATAAAGCACTCAGGCCCTGGGAGTTTTGATGGAGGATATGTTGAAATCATAAATTGGGACCTGGCACTTCTAGACACCACAATAGAAGTATCTTGGATACTAGACACTGTTATGCTATTTCTTAAGAATAGCGACGAAAGACCAGATTTTCACTTTTACAACTTTGCAGAGGCCAGCCCTCACTCCTAATCAAACCATATGTTAAATTTGGGCTTTATTTCTGCCCACTTGTATAGACTTCTCCAAGGCTTGTCTTGGCCCAATCCACTGCTGCAGAAGTTGATTTTCCTCATGTTATGAGAATGAGGTTTCTAATAATGTGGAACATTCACCCAGCCTTGTGAGTTAGTTTTTGAATAACAAGAGTGGGTGTATATAAACCTAGCCACACTCTATATTTTGGAACAACTCAACATCAAAGTCCATATAAAGAGGCTGGAATAGGCACTGGAGTGTAGGCCATCTGTGCCCACATAATAAGAAGAATAATCTAAATTGTGCATCTTTCTGTGCAACCCCTTTTTTCATCAGTCCATACATTTATTCAACTATTCAGCAGTTATTTCCTCAATACCCACCTATTCTGGACCCTGTGCTAGAGACTAGGGATATAGGAGTAAGAAAGACAGTCCAGATCCTGGGCTCATGAAGATAAGACCTGGTAGTAGGCCAAGACTGAACTTCATTGGAAAATGTCATCCATCCTAGAAGGACAGTGGATAAAGTCACCAACTCTGTCTCTGTTTTACCACATGACCTTGGGAAATTCTCTTGCCCTCTGAGACTCAGGTTCCTTATCTAGGCTTTAGACCAGATGGTCTCCAGGATCTAAACCATTGTCTCTTGTGGCCTCCAAACAAACATGACCTGCTGATTGGCAGCCATGCTTCTCAGCAACATATATGTATCTGGATTTCTAGGAAACGCCTCTGGGGAGTTCAGAAGTGGATA